CAGGATGTGCTGTGACAACCCAGGAGCTATGCTGCAACACCTACAGCACTCTCAAGTCAATGTAGACAGCCCGGGTGTACCATGAGCACTGCCCATGCCAGCAAAACCCAAACCTGCTCTTTCAGCAGCATTTCCCGAGCACTCTGCAGTCAGGCAGAGGTGAGGTAGGTGAGGCTGTGCCTGGAGAGGTGTGCAGCTCCAGGCTGGGCTCATGAGGACACTAAGCCAGCACCTGCCACTGCTGCTAAAGGAGGGAGATCTGATCCCTGCTCCATGGCTGCACCATGACACAACAAATGGGATGAGGAAACTCATCTAAGATAAAAATACCCAGTTTTGCCTGTTTAATTTTAACCTAGGTCACTTCCCCAATCCTGTTTCCCTTGAAGCCACAAAAATGTCTGTGTCAGCAAGAACAAGGGGGTGGCAGAGGAATGATCTGGTTTTGGTGGGGTCTCCGAGCATCCCTGAAGCACTGAAGCCACATATAACCACAACCACTCCTGAAGAGAGTTCCTCAGTAGTGCCTGGCAGGATTCAAAGCTCCTCTACCCTCCCAGCACATCAACAGCCTCCAGACACTCCTGTCTCCCCATGATGAACTCACTTCAAGTCACACCATGAACACAAAGTCCTCCCTGCCTAGTTTCAGCCAGGGCTCAGCCTCTGTGTCTGAAAGGCTCAGCTCTGCAGCACACAAGCATCAAGTGACCGCAGGTAGGAAATACCATCAAGCCGGCGGAGGCAGCTTCAGCCCAGCTCCTGCCAGATCACAGGAACCACTCTGCACCAGGGCAGTCCAAGCTTCGGCTGATTTCCTATGCAGCTAATGGTCAGGGAGCCCTGCAGAGCTGTACCCACTAATGGCTGTAAAGAAACCAACAATTTCATTTGAGATTCTCTTCCCTCCGCCCCCAGCCTAGGAAAAGGCATGCTGTACCTCAGCTATGCAAATTTGTGTTCTTTTGCACATTGGGTAAATAATAAGTAACAGTTTGAGACAGATGATTAATTTACTAAAGATTTTGAGTAAGCTATGTATGACTGGAAAACCAAACCCTAAGACCAAAGCTCTGTGCCACACTTTCCCTGGGGTCAGTTAAATCAGAGCAGGACAAAACTGGACGTCAAATCTGTTAGTGTCAAGCAGAATGATTATTCATGAGACACAGAAGACAATCATTAAAATATTTTACACATGAAGTGTTTGTGGGTTTTTTTTTAATGCCTGTGTGATTAGCAAAGGAAAGCATGATGAGAAACAGGATTTTCCAACTGGTAGAGCTTATCTCCTCACACACAATTCTATCATAAATGGGAAAACCCATGTGTGACACCAGCTTCCAGGCAACATCTCATGTACAAATGAACTAGTCATAAGCTTATGGAAGCTTTCTCTTGACATGTAAAAAAGCTCATGAGCCAACCTCATTTCAATAAAATTATTTCCAGGTACTGACCAGATATTTCACATTGCAGCAGCACATTCCTAACTCAAGTTATTTCAACAGATTCTGGTAACTTTAGGCTTTTATTTTAAAATATGGTTGGTTTAAGAGAATGTATTTAAACACATAAATTACTAGGACTAAGTAAGGAAAAAAAAAATCAGGTGCATTGAAGTCCATCATCTGTTACCACCTTGATCTAAACATCATGTTTCAACAGCAGCTGTCCAAGGAGGTGAGATTTCCAGGGTCTTGCCCTGATTTTTAAAAGTGTTCAGTTTTCTTTTATAGTTCTTTAGAAAGTTTTAAAGTTCTCATAAAACTTATTTAGCCTTCTGATAATGTTTACATATTTGAGAGTCAGAGTTCCTACACAATTTCATGTATAAACAGAATAGTCTACATATTTCTTTGTGGGAAGAGAGAATTGATAGACTGTTAGTTTGACCAGTGTGGATGGAGAGGTGACAATTTCATCCTCCAATCCCACTGTCACTTTTGGAATTCTATATATTCTATCAGAAATAAAATTAACTCTTTTTCTCTTTTAAACTTACCAAGCTTCTGTGTACTCATTTAGTGTCCAATAGTGACACATGGGGACTGTCCACAAAACCAAATTAAATTTGAAATTACCCTATTTACAGGTGGATGCTGCCAAGCCCCAAGGACCTTGTTCAGGGAGTACTCTTAGAGGTGTGTTAGGCCCTGTCTCAAGTGCTGATCTCCGTCTGCAGTCCTGCTGAGGTACCTTTCACACTGGGAACTCCAGGAACAGCTGATGGACCTCTATGCAGAGCAGATTTTGACATATATGACAATAATAGCAGATAATGAATTCCATCTTCTAAATGTGATCTTGTTCTATATGACAAGGTGAAATATGGAGTGTCTCCCACCTGACAGCCCAGGAAAGCTCTGCAGGAACCTGTCAATCTATGGCTGCACTGCAGCAGAAGGGAGCGACACAGCCCATGTCACAGGACAAGTATCTGGCAAAGGATCTGGAAAAGAACCTGCCCTGCCCCATTTTCAGGCTGGTGCTGAAGCCACCAGGCACACCTGGCTCTGAGACAACCACTATTGACAAATCCTGCATTGCATCTGCTGCACTTCTGGTTTAGAGCAAATCGTGTAAACCCAGCTCTGCCCCAGTGTCCAGATTCACTCCTCCCAGTCACCAAATTCTTCAAGGTTCTGACTGTCCTGTGTTCAGCCCCAAGATACACCTTGGAAAATCATCAGCAAAATAGCAAAATACAGGAAATCCCTTCCTGCCTCCACGCTGAGCACAACAGGAATAACCCAAGAGCTGTGGCCATAGAAAAAAGAAATATCACTTGAATAAATGTTTTGTAACATCCATTCCTTAGAAGACCTGAAAGCAGGAGAAACGTCCCTGCACTCGCCTGGATGGGGGAGCCCAGAACAAACACAGAAGAAAATTCAGAAGTAAATGTCTTCCTCACCATCAGCAACACACTTAAGGCACAAAACTTATCTAGAAACGCCATCTAAAGAACAGAATATGCCATAGATGACTAAAAGGCAGAAGCAGAGCACCATCAGCCACCCTACTAATTGATTCAGGAACAGTCAGTATGTCAGGCACACGTGCCCACACACAAGTGAGGTGGCTTTGCCATGCAGCAAAATGGAAATGTCAGGGGCCTGCAGACTGCTGCAGGGCAAGCAAGTGCAGCTCTGCTCAGAGAGTCAGAGTTTTGGGGTACATCTAAAGCTGCAAACTGCCCTTCCACGTCAGATCAACACAGGGACATAGCACGTTCTTCTCTCTCCATCAGGAAGAGTGCCTTGGCACAGACTAGTGATTGACAAGCTGTTCTGACACTCACTGTGAACCTCTGTACATGCCATATTTTCTAATGGATGTGGCTGCAATACCACAGAGGTCATCTGGGAGCTCTCTCTGCCCAGTGCCGCGCCTGTACTCTGGGGAAACTTGTTGCATTAAATGATCAGGGCTCAAGACAAATCAAAATCTGGGAGAAGCTCAGCTGTCCTCCAAGGCAGAGCAGTCTGTATAATTATTTTATGGGAAAAAAAAAAGTCCCACCAAAACAAAACACAAATCTGAGCAACAAGTCAACTGAGAGTGGGGGGAAAGCAAAGTTAGCAGCCTCTGACAACGTTCTGCATGTAAAAGGCTGAGAGCTTCAAAAATCGCTGGAGAAAAAGTAACACAGAAAAAGGCACCTGCCTGGGGGGGTCCTTTCCTGGAGCAGCCTGAGCCCTGCCTTGTGAGGCGCCAGGGCAGGCTCCACCCCAGAGATAACACCACTGTGCTACCACTGTGCTGTGCCTCTCAAGGCTTTGTCTGTGTACAAAGGTGTCTCAGTCAGCAGGCAGAGAGTGCACTCAGCCCACAGGCCACTCGGTTGCAGATAAGGATATTCATTCATAAGGGACTTCCTTCCAAGCTAAGCTGTGTCCTCCCATGCATCTTTACAGCCCTGGTGCAACACTCACAGTAAAAAAACCCACTTGTTCCCCATGGACTGAGATGTCCCAGCTGGAGATGTGGGTCTGAACTAGACCCCCAGGCTGCTCCCCGAGGCCAGGACACCCACCAGGCTGGCACCAGCAGCCGTGGCTGACCTGTGTGCCTATATCCCTTCTGCTCGAAAAAGCTAAGAGGGAGCAAGCTGGAATTTGCTCTTCACCCCAAGCAAAAGGCTGAGGCCATGACTCCATACACAGTTTTCCTGTTCCCCGCCTCCCTCCACACATTCTATACCAGCGCTGGCAGCATGCTGATGAAGCCCACTTTACCCTGCAAATCCACCTTCCTCCCTTTCCAACTTCCTCCTTCTCCAGGCCCTGTCCTCCTGTCCACCTCAGCACGGCAATCTCCGGTACCCTTCCCAGATCCGTGCTGCTCCCCATTGCTCTGGCACTAGCGACCCCATCCAGTCCCACTCTGCTCCCTCATTCCCCAGCTTTCCCTCTGCCCAAGCTCTGTCCGTCCCGCAGCTCAGTTCCCACACCCTGACCACCCCGCTCCCAGCCTCTGCATCCCGCAGGCTCCCACCCCGTGCCCGCTCTGCCCTCCTCGTTCCCGGGCCGCCCCCCGGTAGGACGCTGCCCGCGGGCTCAGTGCCGCTCCCTAGCCCTGCATCCTGCCTTGTCACCGCTCTCCGGCCCCCACCTTCCGCCCCGGCACCACCCGCCAGGCTCTGCTCCGTGCCCGGGCGCCTGGCACGGCCCGGGCCCCGCCAGCCACCGCCCCCTCGCCCCTCCCTCTCTCCGCGGACCCGTCCCCGCCCCGCCCCGGCTCCCCTGCTCCTACCCGGCGGCCGCGCCCTCGAACTTGAGCGTGAGGGTCTCCTCGATGATGCGGTTGTTGACCTCGAGCAGGATCATGTCGGTGCCGGGAGCGGCTCTGAGGGAGCCGAGCCCGCTGCGCGCACCGGGGACCCGCCCGAGCCTGCGCCGCCGCTTCCGCTCTCGCGCCCGCGCGTCACTTCCGGCCCGGCGCCACCGCCCCGCCCTCGCCGCGCCCACCGGCGATGACGTCACGCGCGGCGGGCGGGCAATGGCGGCGGCCCCTGAGGGCGGCGGGACGGGGCGCGGCGGCGGGGCGGCTGCTGGGGGCGGGGGCACCGCCGCCAGCCGCGGGAGGCAGGCCTGTGGGCTGTGCCTGCGCCGTGGAAGTCCCCGGAATGGGAGGGTCCCCCCCGCCCCCACCCCGTTAATTGAATACTCACAGTGTTGGAGGTTCCCGGGAATAGTGGGGTGCCCTAAGGATCATAGGGACACTCTAGGAAGTAGCAGGTGTGCCCCAGTGTATGGGGGTCTTATAGGGGATAATGGTATCTTGCAAAATATATAATTTCAGAGCTACAGGGCCTCAAAAATGTGAGGTGACGCAGGGAGTGGGAGTATCCTAGGGGGGCTGTAATGGTGCCCTGGAGCTGGGGGTTGCCCAAAACTGGGTAGGTGTTCCCACAGAGAATAGGAGTGTCCCTCAGTCTGTGGTGATGCCCAAGGGATATGACGGTGGCACTTACCAGGTGCCCCAAAAACGTGAGGTACCCCTATGGCTGACAAGCATGGAAAGCTGTGAGGATGGCGGTGCTCAAAGGGTTTGTGAGTGCCCCAGAGTAATGGGGGTGCATGGGGAATGCCCTTGTGTGCAGTTCTCCCCTAAAAGCAAAAGGAATACTCGGAGCCACAGCATTCACTAAGTCTGTGGGACTGGCACAGGGGCACGGCTCTGTCTGATGGCATTGATGGCATGGCTTGACTTGGCTTAGCTTGGCAAGGCACAGCCAGGGCAGGAGGGACATAGGACTCTACTCTGAGGGGGTCCCCCACAGCAACCTCCAATGGAGGGCAAGCCAGTCTTGCAGTCCCCCTGTGCATCCCCTAAGTGCTGACACCACCCACTGCTCTATCAATGGGGAAACTGAGGCACAGAGCCCTGCATTGCCATCACCCATTGACCATTGCCTCAAAGAGCTCTGCTCTCCTGGTGGGACCACAGCACACAGGGGTGCCTTGAAGGGCATCCCCTCATCCACTGGGGGCCTGGGGACAAATTAGAGACTCCCAGCTGGTGATCCCCGGGGTGCATCATCGCAGGGATGACAATGAACCCCTGGGTGCACCCCCAGTGCAGCGTGGCCTGGGACATCCTGGGACAGGAGGGTGACAGGGGTCTGTGGGCTTCCCTCGGACGGGGAAAGGCATCTGGGGGGACCACGGAAGGGTCCCTTTGGCTGCCACTTCCTCTTCATTCTGGGAGAAGATTTTGCAACATTTCCTCCCCGGGCAGTATAAAGTGAGCGGCGGAGGAAAGGGGTACTGGGAGGCGGCACAGCAGCAGGCACAGGTGAGGATCCTCTGGCTGGTGAGACTCCTGGGTCTGGTGCTGCCCTGCATCCCACCACACTTTGAGCCCTTTGGGGGTAACATCTGGATTTAAACCCATACCTGTGTGCTTCCCAGTGAGAAACAGCTTGGGATCGAGAGAAGACTCCACATTTGAGGGGACGGCGACAGCAGCAAGCAGTGAGTCCATGGGGTGCACCACTGGAGATTGTGGCTTTCCTTGGGCTTTGACAGCCCCACATCACTCATCTGAGCCCCTTCACATGTGGAGCAGCCTGGGAGCTGGGGTGGGTTGGTCCAGCTGCCCAAGAGGCTGTTTGGTAGAGGGAGATGGTGGGTGAGAGCAACCAAGGCTGTGCTGAGGGCTCATCTGAGGTGCAATCCCTCCATAGTCCCCAGGGACATCAGCCTTGGATGCCGTGGGGAAAAATACCTGCTCCCATTTCCTTGCACAGCAATGAGCTAGGAGGATCCTTCCCCATGGCATGTCCCCACTGGGAGCCCCAGGCCACCCCCATTATGCCCCAGCCCTGCCAGGGTCAGGAGGGGAAATGGAGTATTGCTTGTTCCCCTCATCTGGGCCAGCTGTGGGGATCTGTCTGTGTTATACCCGGGGAATACCCATTTCCAGAGGAACCACCAGAATTTTGGAGCGGGGAGGCAGAAGGCAGCAGCCAGAAATAGATGGAGGGGAAGCACTGGCATCAGGCTCTGCCCCGTGCCTGGGGAGCCCCACTTGGGAGGACATTCCCCCATCAGCACTGGCAGCATGCCTGGTTGCATTGCTCTGGGATGCTGATGTCTCCATATCCCAGCATCACCACCCTGGGTCACCATCCCAGGATTTCCATCCCTGGATCACTGCAAGAGAGGATACAGCAGAGCCAGGCAGAGATTCTTCTGGGCAGCGGCACCAGCCCAGCTGCAGCAGGGAATTCAAATCAGGCAAAAGGGAAAAGTTGGTTTCAGGAATGGTTTGGGTTCAAACAGGGCCAGTTTGGAGGTGGGTAGAAGCACCCCAAGCAGTCCTGGCATTTCCAAGCCCTGGAGGGGTTGGGGGCTCAGAAATGGGATCAAGGGGTGAAACTGGAGTGGAACTAGAGTCCAGATCCATTCTGGGAGAAGACTGAAAGCCAGTGGTCTTTGGGGAGGCAGGACCAGAGCAAGTTCACCATCTCCTATGTGTGAGGAGACAGGAAAAGCGACTGCCACCTGTGATTTCCCCATTTTGGCCAAGCAACAGGAAAACCAGAGATGTAACATTTCCAAAGCTGTCTGCAAAGTGTGAAATGTCTTTCCGCCCGGGGCATGAAACCACTCCCGCAGGAGCAAGGCCAGGAGGTGAAAGGGCACAAAAACACCTTCAGACCTTCTTAAGTGCTGCCTGCCCGAGGCATCATGACCACAGCCTTGCTGCTGGCTGATGTGGCAGGAGGGGCAGCTCAGTTCCAGGCATCACAGCAGCAATGCTTGAGGGAGTGGAGAGGCTGGGGGTATACAGGGGTACTTGAAGAACTTTGGAGGTGCCTGAGGGGCTCTGACATGCCCAAAGAGCTTAGAGGCTTTTAAAGGAAGCAGGGTAGCCCAGGGTTTCTGGAGGAGCCAGATGTCTCCTGGACGGATGTGATGCTACATTGATGGGGAAGCCCCCAAACTCTGAAGAGGTGATCAGTCTATGGGGGAACCTTTTCTTCCACAAGAGACAGGAAATGGACAGGACTGGGGTGAAATGCAGGAGAATGAGGCATGCAGGGGGTGTTTTACAAGGGGGTATATGAGGAACAGTGTCTACCTGCAGTACTGACCATTACCTGGCACAGTGTGGAATGCTGTGTCCTCCATCACAGTGGAGTGATGAAGGACAGCTGCCCACTGGCTGGGAGAGGACCTGGGGGCCAACAGAAATGCCAGAAGATCCAGAGATGCTGTCACTCCTGGTCCACAATACTGCCACCCCACGCTCATGCCATTTTGTGCTCCACAGGCAAAATGGAGCCCTTGTCCTACAGTGGAGATTTCTCCAACCTCTTCTCCTTTTACAACTACACCTATGACTACAGCACAGCCATGCCTGACACTGCTATCTCATCCTCTCCGTGCCGGCCTGAAAACTCTGCCCTCAACAAGTACCTGGTGGTGGTGATCTACTGCCTCGTCTTCATCCTCAGTGTGGTGGGGAATGGGCTGGTGGTGCTGGTGGTGACCTCCAGCCACACCAGCCGCTCCGTCACCGACGTCTACCTGCTCAACCTGGCCGTGGCAGACCTGCTCTTCGCTTTGACCCTGCCGCTTTGGGCAGCCTACCGAGCCCACGAGTGGGTCTTTGGCACTGTGATGTGCAAAGCCATCTCCGTGCTGCAGGAAGCCAACTTCTACAGCGGCATCCTTCTGCTGGCCTGCATTAGTGTGGACCGCTACCTGGCCATTGTCTATGCCACACGGGCTGCCACTGAGAAGAGGCACTGGGTGAAGTTTGTCTGCTTGGGCATATGGGTCTTCTCCATACTGCTCTCCCTGCCCGTGCTGCTCTTCCGTGAGGCTTTCCGCTCTCCCAACAATGGCACCGTGTGCTATGAGCGCATCAGTGGCGAGGACACGGCCAAGTGGCGGGTAGTGCTGCGGATCCTGCCGCAGACATTCGGCTTTGTCTTGCCCCTCCTGGTGATGCTCTTCTGCTATGGTGTCACCATCCATACCCTCCTGCAGACCAAAAATGCTCAGAAGCAGCGGGCCATGAAGGTCATCTTTGCTGTGGTGCTGGTCTTCCTCATCTGCTGGCTGCCCTACAACATCACCCTGGTGAGCGACACCCTCATGAGGACGCGGGCCATTGCCGAGACCTGTGAGAGGAGGAACCGCATCGACACAACCCTCTCTGTCACGCAGGTCCTGGGCTTTGCCCACAGCTGCATCAACCCTATCATCTATGCCTTCATTGGTCAAAAGTTTCGCAACAGCTTCCTCAAGATCCTGGCGCAGCGTGGGCTGATCAGCAAGGATGCTGTTGCCCGCTATGGCCGTGCCTCCTATGCCTCCACCTCTGGCAATACATCCACCACCCTCTGAGCCCTTCTGGGACCCAGCCTTTGTGGGTACCAGCAGGTCCCAGCACCCCACACACCTCAGCATCATCATCCAGTCCCCTGGCATGTGGGTGGTGATGCCATAGGGATGGACAGGGCCACCACTGGATGCTGGACCCCAACTGGAAGGGGGCTTGGGTAGCATGGTGGTAGGACCTCATTGCCAGGGGAGTGATGTCAAGTGTCCACCCTCCCCCCTCTTTGGGACAAAGCCTGTGACCCTGTGGATTCTGTGAGCCTGCTGTGAAGATGGTGTATTTACCCAATGACCATTGAGCAATAAAGGAGTTGGTCGGTTGGTCACCCATGTCTGGCTCCTCTTTGCCACAGACTGGACACAGCAGGACAGGGCCAGGGCGCCTCTCTGGGGACAGTGCCAAAACAGTGTTGCCTGCTGAGCCTGTCAGAGTGTGGGTAACTCTTCTTCCAGGACAGGGTGTGACATTCTGTGCATCCCCACAGGGGACCCAAGGCCAAGTTTTGCTTCCTACAGTTCCCCAGACAGGTCCTGGCACTTCCATGGTCTCTATGTGGAGTCTATCCCACCTGAGGACAAAGTCATTCCCTTCCCAACCCCAATCTCAACCCCAGCAGAGCAAATCACTGAAAGATCTCTAAGCAGCCCCTCATACTAAGCCAGCCCTGTGACCCCTGCCTGAAGGGTACCGGCATCCCCGCTCCTCCCAGCCATGGTGTCAGAGCATTGTTGTGCAAAGGGCTGGGAACCTGTCCCTTACACAACCGGGGATGTTTCCGCTCTGGCTTGGGCAATTGGGGCTGACACTTGACTGGGGTCGAGGAGCTGAAGAAGGGACTGTGACCCTGCTGAGTACTCTCCTGCCACTCTGTGTGCCAGGCCTCAGGATGCCTGCCCCAGCACACCTACACATCTTTCCATTGGAGTCCCATATTGCTCCTCCATTGACCTTGATCCAAGTTCCTAGAGGTTCATAACCATGGAGACATCAGCAGATGTCACCCATGTGCTGGCTCATGGGAGGGTATGGGGATCCCCAGCACCCAGGTGGGAACCCTGGGGACTTAAGGCAGAGCAGAGTCATGGGGGTGCTGTGCAAAGACAGCCTTTGCATCTGAGAAACCTCTTGCCCAAGTGGTTCCTTGCGGTGTGGTAGGAAGGTAGAGCTGTTGGCCAAGAGCTATCTCCTCTCCCCACTGTGGGATAGTGCAGGCAATGGCTCAGCCTGGCTGCAGCTGGGACACCCTTTTTGAGGATGGTTTCCCCCCAGGAGGACTTGAACACCCCCATGCCAGCATTCCCCACCCTGCACCCAACCCTAGTGTCAATTTGGCAGTGACTGATAGATGACACAGAAGACACAGGGGTAGCAGAAATTAGTAGTTTTCCTCTTTGTGGACCAGCCGCAAGAAATACACATGTCAAACCCAAAATGTCGGGCAGCAGGACCTGCATGCAGGCCCTGGACACCTGGGTACGCAGTGAGTCCAAGAGGAGGCAGCCATGGCAGGAGGTGTCCCACGCATGGTGCCAGGGCTGCTGTCCCCACTCACGTAGCCTGTGGGTGCCTTTGCTGGTAGCAAATCAGGCAGCAGCGGCCGTGCTTGCCCATGTCCACGGAGCACGTGTGGCACACCTTGCCCTGGCACAGCCTGCTGAGAGAGCAGGAGGTGAGAGCTGAGCCATCCCCGCACAGTGCCAGTGCCACCCCTCATTCCCCTCATAGCCCACCTGCAGTTGTACCGCCGGGAGAGGAGGCGGAAATCCTTGTGGCAGCGGGCACAGAGCCCTCGGTCGCGGGGCACCGGACTGGGCATCGGGGTGTCAATGCCCTCTGTCTTTTGCCACAGGGCATCCTTCTCCCTGCGGGAGGGGAGACGTCAGCACTGGCTTTGCCTGGGCTCTGGTGCCCTCCTCTGGGCAAAGGGGTTTGGGTCTCCTTGCCCTTGCGTGGAGTCCCCGGGGCTCTCACCGCAGCAGCTCCAGCAGCCGCTCCTTCATGTCGCGGACGAGCTCCTGCTGCCGTGCCTGCTCGGCACCGCGCGTGGCCTCCCGCTCCAGGGCTTCCCGCTGCGCCCGCTGCAGCGCCGATGCCCAGCGCTCACCGTCCTGCCGGGCCCTGGCGCGGGGCAGTGCCCACATGGTCCCCCTGTCTCTCAGCTGGTCGTCTCTCCATCCCTCCATGCATGCGGATAAACCTCCCGCCGCTGGTTCCTCCCTCCCTCCCTCTCTCCCTCGCTCCATCCCTCCTTTCCTCCCTTCCTTCTTTTCTCTGATGCTGCCAATCCATCCTCAAGCTCTCTCCCAACCCTCACAGCCACTTTGCCAGCTGCCACCCATCCGTTTTCCCACTGTTCACCCACCCTTCTCCATATCCATACCCCTGGCGTTCTGCCGACTCACCCATCTACTCACCCCAAATTCATCCCAGTGTCTCTCCATCCACCGTCCCATCTCCATCCATTCATCCTAAATTGATCCCTCCTTTCCTCTTTCTATCTACTAACGCCAAACCACTCAAACTCTCTGCCCACCTACCCTTCCACCCGCCTATCATTCCCAAACTGACCCCTCCCCTCAAATCCTTCCCTTCCTCCCACTGCCAATCCCCAGCTGCTGTTCGGCTGTGTCCAAGCAGGACATCATTGGGGGCCCCAGGGGACACCATGTGGCAGGTGGAGATGGGAAATCCCACTCTGGGGTGATGGGTAGTGGAAGTAGGGGTCCTTGCCCAACCTGCTGAGTTCCTCCTGCAGCCGTGCCATCTCCTGTCTCTGGGCCTGGAGCTGCTGCCGGCTCTGCCAGGTCTCCTCCTGTGCTGTGGCAGCCAGGCTGGCCAAGCGCTGGGGGAGAGTGGGGGCTCAATCCTGGACCCCAAACCCCCACCCCTCCACAGGATCCCCTTGGACTTGCCCATACCATGGCCATGCTGGTGACCGTGCTGTGTTCCCCTTCTGCCTGAGGGGCTCGTGGGGCCTCCTGGGGACCACGGGCGAGCTCCAGTGCCTGCCGCAGCACCTCCTTCACGGCAGCCACCTCATTTGAGGTACCAGCATCCTTCAGCATGTCCGTCCGTCCTGCCGCCACCAGCGCTTCCTGGCATTCCTGCAGGCGCGAGGTCAGCGCCGCCGCCTCTGCCAGCACCCTGGCCAGCTGGGTGCCCCGCTCCTCTGCCACCTCTTGCCAGCCCCGTGCCTCCTCCTGGGCCCGTGCCAGTGCCCCCGGGTCCCCCGCTGCCACCGCTGCCTCCAGTGCCCGCTCCAGGAAGGTGTTGGTTTCCCGCAGTGCCTCAGCCTCGCGTGCCCACAGCTGGGCCTGCTGGGCACTGCCCTCCTCCTGCCGCCGGTGCCGCAGGTCCGCCCGCGCCAGCCGTGCTGCCAGCACCTGTGCTGCCGCCTCTCGCTGGCCCAGCTCAGCCCTCAGCTGGGACACCAGTGCCTGCAGGGACTCCTCTGTCCCACCCGGCTGCCTGGGCACCAGTGACAGGGATCCCGGCATGCACCTTGTGCCAGTGGACATGCCAGGCTCTCCGGCACCATCAGGCTGGGCTGCTTTGCCAGTGCCATGTGCACCCTCCAGTTCCTCTATATCCACATCCTTCATCTCCTTCTCATCCTCCTCCAGCTCTTCATGTTTCTCTTCCAAATCCTCCTCCATGTCCTTCTCCACATTCACTTCCACATCCTCCACCTTCACATCCTCCACCTTCCCCTCTTTTGTATCCTTACTGTCATCCTTCTCCACATCCTCTTCATTCTCCTCTTCTATATCCTTCTTCACCTCCCCATCCTGTACATCTCCCTCTATATCTTCCACTTCCACACTCCCTCCTTGCAGGGCAGCCAGAGGGGGTGGGCACAGATGGGCTGGTGCCCCATGGAGTGCCACAGTGGGATGGCCAATGCCATCAGACCATCCGTGCGCCACAGTGCCGATCCTGTCTGTCTGCAGGGCTGTCTTTGCTGGGCTGCTCCTGATCACCAGGCTGGGCCGTACCAGTGGCCTAGAGGGGACACAGGGCTCAGGGCTACTAGGTCACCCCCAAGGTGAACAGGGCATCACCACCCTCCATTTAGGCTCGCTGGGCACAGCAGCCTTTAGGAATTTAGGGGGCAGCAGGGCAGGGGATCAGCGATATGGGTGCCACCAGCCTGAGCACCCACAAAACGTGTGGCACCCATCGACCCAAGCATGTATGCTTGTGACAGACCATGCACACCAGCATGTGAGCAGCAGAACAGGTGTGAGTGTGCTGGAACAGCTGCATCCATGATGCCCCCAACAAGTGTGCCCGGGGCAAGGGTGTGCAAGCACATACATGTGTCCCTGAGTGTCAGATGTCACAGTGTCACGGTGTTGCAGCAGGGATATACTTGGCAGATGATGGCTCTTTGTGTGTGTGTGTACACATGCATGTGGCATGTTTGCAGGCACAGGCATGGTGTGCATACTGGTGCCAGTGACTATGCCCCCCTGGAGCCATATATGGAGAGCTGGCACATCTGGAGTGCTGTGTGGGGTCTAGGGCAGTGGGGCGATGCACACATGCTTCTCTGCAATGCTAAGCCCCAGGTGCCTCTGATGCTCTAGACACCCCCAGTGCTGCCAATGCCCCTGGTACCCCCAGTGTCCCCAAGCTCACTCGGAGAACATGGGCCAAGCGGTGTCCAGGTCACTCCTGTGCAGAGCCAGGTGGAAGGTGACACAGTCCAGCTCATAGAGGCTGCCCAGGATCTCTGCTCGCCGTTTGGGGCTCAGGAAGGGGCTACGGGCGTAGTACCACTCGCTGCAACCACAAAACAAGCTCATGCATCCCTCTATGCCCTGAACAGGTACACATGCCTGCAGCAACTCTGCTGACTGGGTGCTGCAGGGCACTGCCCACCCTGGCCATGTCCCCCACCACCACGAGCATCCCCTCACTGTGCCCCTGCTCTCACCAGAGGCTCTCAGGGTCGAGGAGGCAGAGCTGCAGGGACTCTGCCAGCTGCCGGTGCACCAGGCAGTACCGCAGAAAGGCTCGGCCTCTGCCCACAGGGGTCTTCAGCTGTGAGGAGAGGGGGTTATCCATCCCTGTCACTTCAGTCTGCCCCTCCACACACCTACCTCCCAGCCCAAGCAGGGAAAAAGGGTCCCCAGGGTGGGTGTGGAGTGCAGAGGGGATCCCAGAGGGGACAAAACCGTTAATAGCACCAGTGGGTGAATGCTTGGTGCCCAAGCGAGTGTGTGCCTGTGCAGAGGTGCATGTGCACCTACAAGCAAGCAAAAGCTCGTGTGTGTGCACAAGCCCCTGGATAGCCCACCAGCCTGTGCCCACCTTGTCCAG